GTGAGTGTGGCTGTAGGAGGGCAACGTGAGGATCCTTGTGTTGTTGGAAATGCTCTGTATCTTAACTGTATCAATATCCTGGTTGTGATACTCTATGATAGTTTTGCAAAGGTTACATGGGATGTTTGTAATATTTTTCACAACTGCATGGGAAGCTATAGATACCGCAAAGTAAAAAATTTAATTAAGAAAGTAAAAATAAAAAATACAGCTTCATGGGGGCAACACGCTCAAAGTTGATTGAATAGGTCCGAGTGGCTCCTGAGAATGTATTTTTAAGTTCCTGAGGTGATAATGCTTTTTAGCCTGGTAGACCCAGATGTATTACATCACTTTTTTTTTGCCTCTCCTATATGTTTATGGAGCCCTGGTGGCACAGTGGTTAAGAGCTTGGCAGCTAACCAAAAGGTCGGCAGTTTGAATCCACCAGCCACTCCTTAGAAACCTTATCGGATAGTTCTACTCCGTCCCATAGGGTCACTGTGAGTCGGAATTGACTCCGCAGCAACAGGTTTGGTGTTTTGGGTTTATATGTGTATGGGAAAGGGTATATGAGGGTAATCATGAACTTCAAATAGTGAGGTTCAAACCATACCCATCCTCATATAAGAATTACTTATAAACATCTGTCAGACCAGAAATTGTTTGTTTTTAGTCAAACAACCCTTTGAGAATTTGGCGAAAATCCAAGGCCCTCACCACAAAATGCACATACTCCAAAAAAATTGCATATAATTTCAGGGGTTTCACTTATATCGTAAACTTTCTTGATAGGCCTGTGAACCCTAGCTTAAACCAGCCCCTATGCCCTAACTAACTTTCCTTCTTCCATCTATTCATTTGCTTATTCAGAGTAGTAAAGGTTTTTTTTTTTTCTTTTTTTCTCTAAACTTCTGAAATAATGTACTTTAAAAAACTATGTACTTCATCCTTTCCCCTTCATCAGTTTTGGGAGAGAATTTTTATGGCCATAGATTCTACACAGCTTTCTGGGAAGATAATTGATTCAGTTTAATTAATTTTAGGAATTCCTATATCTGGGTATCAGAGACATATGTATCAAATGCACACAATCTTCCTAAAAATTTTTTTTTAGTGTCAGCAAACTGCTGTGAATTTAGTCTACTATATCTACTTAGTTGTAGACTAGTAATTGTGGTTTCAGGACATGTGGTAATAATTTATTTCCTTCTTGGACAGCTTTCCGTGGACACCCTGCAGTTTTTGCTCTTCTTATACACGCAGCAGTTAAACAAGGTCTCGCTGAGGACGTCTTTGATTGGGGAGGAGTGGCCTAGTCCCAGAAACCGATGTCAGTCTCCTCACGTGACTGAAAAACCCACTTGTCATGATAAGGTACTGCTGGAATCTTCTTCTCTGAAAGGGACACTTTGTAAGGAAGGTGGTTCATCTTCATCAAAATTTATCTTGATTTGATGACTTTTTTTTTTTTCAATTATAAAGCAAAATCAATGTGTGTAATCTTAATCAGTGGTTTAAGTTCCTTCACTAACACAAAAATCACATGATTTTTGGGCATATCCCTCTTGCTAGCATTCCCATCTTTTCCAAATGTTAATGAATTTGAATCTGCTTATTTAACAAGATAAACAAGAGGATGTGGTGTTTGCAAAATCTGTTGAAATCTGCTGAAGAAAGTTTCCATGAAAATACTTTCTCGTATTGCCTCATCATGCTTAAGTAATTATATATAACGTGAGAACCTAGCAGCTAAATTTAACTGCTTCACATTGTGAGTTTTGGAAAATGTCTTGTTGTTTCTTTCCTTCGCTTTTTATAAAGAAAATATTTTACCTGTTTTTGTGAAAGTTATTTTGAAAAAATTTAAGTAAAACATAGCTCTCAGTATTACTGTGCAGGCTTTTTAAAAATGTTTAGAGGCTTAACAAAAAAAATCCTCTTCATTATTTTGCACTTTTATAACCTCCTTTTTAATAAATCTGCCCACCCATACATTTCATAGCTACACCCTCCAGGTTCTGCTTCTGAGTCTTCCTTCTCACACTTCTTCCCGCATCCCTCTCCTTCTGGCCCTTACCTGCCACTCTTCCCTCAGGTTCTGCCAGGGGTGTTCTTTGCTTCTCACCTGATGTACACATTCAGCGTAATTCTGTCTACTCCCGTGACTTCATAGAGCTCAGTGACTCCTGAGTTTGTCTCCATCCTAGAGTTCTTGCCTCATATTTACCTCTTCACATAAATGCCCTGTCGGTACCTTAAACTCAGCATGTCCAAGTCCAGATTGCCAGCTCTCTCCACAGGTAGTTCCTGCTGAAGGGGTACTGTCAAGAGATTGTATTTTGACAGAAGGTTGCTTCCTGCAGTCAGATCTGGCTTCACCACCTAACAGTCATGTGATTTTAGGCAAGTCGGTTACCTTCTCTGGGCCTTGTTCCTCTCTAAATGAGGGCAGTAGCGCCTATTTCTGAATGGCTGTGAAATTCAGTAACATATTAGCATAGGGCTTGGTGCACGGAAGTGATGACTGGTTTTTGCTGTATCATGACCCCTCCCAACAGCTGATTAGAACTGGGATGGAACTAGTCTAAAGCAGCCCATTCCTTGGTGTGCATTTGCAATTAGTCTGATTTGAAATGATGACCTGGGACAATCAGTCCCCCCAGGGACTAAAGAAATTACCAGTTGGTGATGGGTGCTTGAACTGAAAGCTCATGTAGCGTTGGGACCAAAATTGCCACTGTGTATCATAAGTGAGGAGCCCTGGTGGTGCAGTGGTTAAGAGCTGGGCTGCTAAACAAGGTCGGCAGTTCAAATCCACCAGCTGCTTCTTGGAAACCCTATGGGGCAGTTCTGCTCTGTCCTGTTGGGTCGCCATCAGTCGGAATCGACTCGATGGCAGTGGTTAATCATAAGTGACCTGGGGTTATGAGGGATTAGAAACTCTGAGAGAACCAGCCAAACACAGGATGCTTGTCATTCGAGAAGAAGAAGAGAATTGCAGAGACATGCAGAGCGACACTGACCCCTGAGAGAACCAGGCTCAGATGCTTTCCCAGGTCTCATGAGGCCCGCCTGTACTTCAGTTTGGGAGACTACTGTGTATCCCTACAAGTAAACCCTCCTTTCACTTGAGTTAACTTGTACTCTTTATGCCAGTGAAATTACACCAGCCACCGTCTCTCATCACCTGTACCCAGTTAGTTGTCAAGTCTTACTGATTCTGTCTCCAAAATAACTCTTCACCTTGTCCCTTTTCTTCCCCTTATGCAGATCCTGGTCACTTGTTTTTTGCCTTGATTTTTGTAATTAGGCCTTAGCTGGTCACCCTGCTTTTAGTCTACAATCTACCTACCGCACTGGACTTTCTAAAAAGCCAGAAAAAAACCCAAATCCACTGCTGTCAAGTTGATTCTGATTCATAGTGACCCTATAGGACAGTAGAACAGCCCCATAGGGTTCCCAAGGCTATAGTCTTCCCACATCTTTAATTAATTTTAGGAATTAATTATAAACTGCCACATCTTTCTCCTGATCTGATTATGTCCATCACCTGTTTAAACTCTGTCAGCGAATCCTCACTGTCATTGTTGTTTTCAAGCTGTACCCTGTGGACCTTCCTTAGGGCCTGCTAGGAGGGAGGGGGATGCAGCCAGAGGGAGGAAGAGCAGGTGAGCTGTGGACCACTCTGGCTTGACCAGTTTTCTTTGGCATCCAAATGAGAGTTTATTTAACAGGAAAAAAAAAAAAGTATACTATTTAAAAATAGTTTGAAAATCCCTGGCACGCACAAAATAAAGTGTTTTTGTTTTAGTATTTCATACAAGGCCTGTCGTGATTGGTTCCTGCCTGCCATTTTAACTTGAGCTGCCACTTCTCACCATGCTTCCTGCCAGTTGCCATTGACTTGACTCTGATTCATGATGAACCCATGTGTCAGAGGAGAACAATCCTCCATAGGGTTTTCAGTGGCTGATTTTTT